TTATTATATTATTTTTGCTAAAACCTCTATATAGTCACCTTCTTTTTTATATATATAATTGTGACTATATAGAGGGCACCTCTATATTAATCACACCTCTATATAATCACGACTTTTTGTATCCCGAAGGTGTGACTATAGAGGGGGATGACTGTATTAATTTCTTCGTGTCCAAAATTTTAACGTGGATTCCACTACTATACTTTTTTAGTTTGTATCACATGGTATGTTCTTTATTTGGTCACAGCTTATCGTGGGTACAATTTTTAAGCAGTAATTAATAAATTAATAACCAGAAACTGCACATGTGGACAGCTTCGCTGTCCGTTCAAGCTAACAATTAGATATACTGTAGTAGGTGTGATAATAACATCTTTATTTGATTTGGTAAGTCAAAATTAAATTTTTGTTGGAAAAATTTTAAATTTACCCTTTTTTTAATGAAAACAGAACTTAGAACTCAGCGCATAATCCATGACTAGTTTTAAAAATAAGCATGTAAGTACTTAAACATAGTTGATATCTTAAATATTTTATATAGTTCTCGCTCGGCAACTTTTCAAGTCGATTTCTACATTTTTTTAAACTATAAATGTTATAGACTTTTTTTTTTAAATTGCTACTTCTCTTATTTACTCGGAATTTTCAAATCCACTGTATTTTATTTATATTGTAGTGTATTGATATTATTATTTTATTTATATTGTAGTGTATTGATATTATTATTTTTCTCACAGCCTCGTTTTAAACTTCAAATTTTTTTTTTGCTAATATGTTTATTTGTAATATCCGTCATCATAGAATTATGTCTTAATCGTGCTTGATAGTTACGTGGTTATAATATAAATTTAAAAGTAACATTTTAGTTAGATTAAAATAAAATATATAAGCAAATATAATTTTTTTTATGAACACGTATATTCGTAAATGGAAATCTTCAAACTAAATATAATAATATCGTAAAAAATTGATTGTATATTAAAAATTTCATAAATTTACGTACATTATTTTAAAACCTCACATGGCACGCATTTAAAAGGTTATTTATTTGGATGCGTATTAAAAATTGTTTGTTTTGTAACAATGTACTGTACAAAATTGGAGTATAAACAATTTATAATTAATTAATTATGCAGTTATGCTGCATGTAATTTAGCGTATGTTACATAAAATGACTAAGTATGATACAGTATTACGTATAATTTTATGTATGTAACATTAATAGATTTATAACAGATTTTTTTTTGTTTCTTGGTTTTTAAAATGTCAAATAATTTAACTACAGAACATTCAAATAAAATTGTCAATTCATCAAACGAAGTTACCAAAATAATTGATGATTTTAATCAATTAGATTTAAAAGATGATTGCTATTTTAGCGAAATTGTTAAAGAATTATATAATAAATATAATGAAGAATATATAATACATGATGATTTAAATATAATCGTTAACTCATTGGATCAAATTTTAGCAAAAGAGAATCAAAATCCTGATAATATTATTAATTGGTGTTTAAATAATCAAAATGATCCTATTACCCAAATCGTTCTTGCAAGGTGTTATCGTTTTGGTAAATGGATTGAAAAGAATGGAGATAAGGCATTTATGCATTATCAAAAGTCGGCTGATATGGAATTTGCTGGTGGAGTATATGGTGTTGCTGTTTGTTATGAATACGGCATTGGTATTAATAAAGATGAAAGTAAAGCTCTTATTAATTATCAAAAAGCTGCTGATATGGGTCATTTGGATGGAATTTTTGCTCTTGGTAATTTTTATGAATCCGGAACTGGAGTTGAAAAGGATGAACATAAGGCATTTAGTTATTATCAAAAATCTGCCGACATGGATTCTGTTTCTGGAATATTTAGTATTGGATCTTGTTATCTAAATGGAATTGGAGTTGAACAGGATGAAGATAAGGCATTCGTTTATTATCAGAAATCGGCTGACATGGGTTATGTTAATGGAACTTATAATGTTGGATATTGTTATTTTAATGGAATTGGTGTTGAAAAGGATGAAGATGAAGCGTTCACTTATTTTCAGAAATCTGCAGATAAGGGTAATGTTAATGGAACTTTTTATGTTGGATATTGTTATAATTACGGATATGGTGTTGAAATTAGTGAACTTAAGGCATTTACGTATTATCAAAAATCTGCTGACATGGGCCTTGATCATGGAATATATTATGTTGGATTATGTTATTATGACGGAATTGGTGTCGAAAAGGATAAACATAAAGCATTTATCTATTATCAAAAAGCTGCTAATATGGGTTATACTGAAGCAATAAATGCGGTTGGTTATTGTTATCTCTATGGAGATGGAGTTGAGATAGATGAATATAAGGCTTTTATTTATCATAAAAAATTGGCTGAAATGTAACAACCTGATTATTTGTAATTTTAACAGAAATTAGTAATAAAAAGTATTATAGTGATAATACATTGTAATATGTGAATTTGAAATGCTTATATAGTGTCAAATTCCCTGAAAAAAAAAACGAACTATATGAAAAGTAATTGAAGAAAATAAATTAAAAATCTTAAATCTTTAAATATTAGCCTTTTCAAAATTACGTAGAGTATTGGGGATTCAAAATACTAATTAGTCAAAATTATGTAAGGTACAGCAATAATGCCTTTACAGCCAAATCTTCATATAAGGCCTGATCGATTGGTTTTGTTTCTTTACAATCTTCAAAATACTTTCCACCTTCATCAATGTTCGGGTCTAATGCAGGGTACATTATATTTATTGCGCCAATATCAGGTGATTTACCCAACAACAACTTGACAAAATACAAAGAAATCGATTTTGAAATTTTGTTTGTCGTTATAATTCCTGGGTGGCATGCTGTGGACGTAACATCTAATTTTTTTTATGAAATCAATAATAAATTTAAGTCATTTAAAGAAAAAATTTTAAGACAATAATGAAAACTTATTAACATTTATCACATAATAAAATTGATGGAATTACTTACTTGAACCTTTAAGGCGTTGATTAAATTCATTACTATATATAATATTCTAAAAAATTTATATATAAAAAATTAATCATAAAAAGAGTAAACTATGCAAGATCTTAAATGTACCAATTATTCACTAACCATTAACTTTTGAGTTTGAATATAATTCAAGATAGCCACTGTAAGATTTTTCCCCATTAAGATTATCAAATCAATTTTACCAAGTTGTTGTGCTTTTGAAGTTGTGTGAATGATTTTACACTGAGATTCCGGTGTTGCCGAGTTTTTTATGGTCGGAAGCAGAAGGGAAGTCAGGAGAAAGTGAGAAAGATGATTAACCTTGTTTAAAAAGCATTATTAAAAATATTATGAATTTGTTAAGCGAGTAAAAAGTGAATAGTTTGTTAAAATAAATTATACTTGGAATTGTTGTTCAAAATTATCTTTTGTTTTCTCCAATCCAGTAAAATTGATACCTATTTTTCATTTATAATTAAATACTAAAAAAGACAATAAAATGCAGCTGATATTCGATTATACGCACCAGCATTATTCCATAAGTAGTGTTATTCTCTAACCTCTTTAATAAACTTATTCGCAAAATTCTTTACACTATGTAAATCCGCCAAATCAATATCCCATAATTCAATACATTCACTATTTCCATCAGTAGATTCTTTGATATATTCAAGGAGAAGGTCGCCTTTTTTTCTGTTGCGAACTGGAAGTATCAAACGTTTTGGATTATATGATGAGATAATTCGAGCTAAACTTTTACCAATTCCTAAAAAAAAAGATAAAGAATGGATAAAGAATGGTTATAACAATAATTATGGGTAATTTTTCGTTTTGATATAAGATACAAACCATCAGTGGCACCAGTAATTATAACGACTTTATTTGACAAGTCAAAGGAATTAATAATAGTTGACTGACTTGATCCCATTTCAATTTAAACAGATATCAAATATATTGATAAATTCAACAGCGATAGAATCTGGTATGTAAGTTCCTACTTACAGTTTTTTATGTGCGGTAGCTTTTTTATGCTTAATATCGGTAAACCTAACCTCTTTTATACTGCAATATACTCTAAAAAATTTTGAGTTTTTCATGATTACGTAATCATGCAATGCACTTACATACGTAGTGCATACACGGAAAAATATTTTTTTTCAAATTTTAAGGGGCTAAACCATTTTTCAAATTATTTAAACAAAGCTATAAATAGCAGGGTTCTCTGGAAATCTCTTACGAATGCTGATAATTGATTACGTTTATTGCATTCAATTATTGATATTGGCCGTTCATAGTGCACTGACCAAAAGACTCGGGGTCTAATACAAAATATCCTACAAAAAACTTACAAAAGACCCGGGTATATTATACAGTAGCAGGTCAGTGTCTCAAGAAAAAAATTTTCAAGCATATGTACATTCTACACTTACAATAAGCAGTCTAAAAATTTTAAAAAAAATACCTATACGTATTTAATTAATAGAGGTCTCGTGTTTTGCACAGGATACTTTACAAGGGGGGTATTGATAAAGGGGTACTTTAGTCAGTGCGCTACGGTAACTTATTTGCGTTGTCTTATGACAACTTTAATTTTGATATTGCCACTGTTTAATGGTCGTATTTTGATAATGGCTAATCCATTTTTAATCATTCTGCATTAACATCGGGAAAAAAATTTTTCAGGTTTTGTCGATCATGTGGCACAGCAAAATCCTTTAAAGTTCGATTATATTAGGGTTAGGGTTAGAGTCATGTATCAGATAAAGAGTTTATATAGTAAAACTGCCCAACGAAAACTTTTTGTTAGTGCACTAAAGGCGGTTTCTTATGCAAAATTTCAAGAAATAAGCGATTTTTAACAAAACGAACGTTTGTTTTGAAATTTTCTGATTGTGTTACGTTACACCTGATCTTTAAAATCTGATTTGTGGATCAGGAGATCTGCGCCACATGATCGACAAAACCTGGCACAGAATTTTTGTATGCCAAATGCATTATATAAGTAGCTGCGTGACATTGTCACGCTACATTAGGATGGCGCCTCAACTAATTAAATAAAACATACGTAGTTAGGGTAATATATGAAAAACTAAATTTACATTTATTAGTACAAGTATCTAATAAAGTATATCTAATTTTTTTTCTAAAAAAAAAAAATTGAAGCTCGCAACCAGATAATAGAGCTATTTTTCAAATAATTTTTTTTTTAAATTTTGTAAAAATTAATTAATGTTTTAATATTTAATATTTATATAATAATTGAACGATTTTTATAAACTATTGGAAAAAGTAGCTCCATTACCATGTAGAGCTAGACAAGAGCTTTAAGTTAAAAAAAAAATTTTTTATAAGCTTTTGTTAAGTACTTGTGTTAATAAATGTAAATTTATTTTTATAATTATTTCTATAATCATCTAATATACAGTAAATCATCAAATAAATCGATTAACGATAATATCGAAGTTTAACTATTAATGGGTATCTGTAGGCCAAACATACTAAATTTAGTATGCAAAAAAAAATTTTTTTTCATTAAATATAAATTTAACTTTATTCAAACTTTAAATATATATTTTTTAAATTAAACTTAATATCTTGGTAAAATTTTAAATCATATTTATTATTAAAAATTTGTATAAACTAATTACAAATAACTGCTTTTTTATTTTAATTTTGCTATACTAAATTTAGTATAATAAAAAAAAAATTATATTGCTATAAATTATATAAAATACTATTATGAAAAAAAAATCATGATTTATTCAATATTTATTTATTATTTTGAAATATTTAAATCGCCAAAAGATGTTTACTATAACAGCTAATACATATTGCCTTATTTGTATTATAGATATAATAATATCTTGTTCTTGTACTACAATATAAGCAGCGTAACTGTGGATAAATTGTAACATTTCTCGATTTTTTCTTTTTAGATAAAGTTGATGATTTGTGTACTATTTCCGTTTCTCTTTGCCATTTTTAAAATTGTATATTTTGAGCTAAAATTTCATCGCCAGAAAAAATTTCACTAACTATCTCATTTGCTAATACTCGTCTAAAATCAAAATGTGATATATTTTGCACTTCGTTACCTCATTTTTATAAATCAAAAATGTATTTGCCTCTGCAACTCCTAATAAAAAAGCATAGAACCATGCATAACATTATGAAAAGAAGTCATATTGTTGCACATCTAATAATTCAATATATTTTATTAGTATAATTGATAAAAAGGTAAAATTTTAAATATTGTATTTATATCGTTGCATTTGCGTTATTGTAACAATACAATATTATCCCTTAAACTGTAAGCAATTCCAGGCAAATTTGCCTGGAAAATTGCTATAAATTTGCTTATGATTTATTT